AGGACTGAATGTTCTTCCCTGTGAAGGGCCTTGTCTCAGTGGTCAGAGCATCTGTTTTGTGAGCAAAAGATCCCAGCTCGATGGACCAGCGGTCTGGCTCAATATAAGGCCCTATGTTCCTAAAAAAGACATTGTATCTAGGAAACTAGATAAAGGTAAAGGGACCCCTGACCATTAGGTCCAGTCGTGACTGACTCTGGGGTTGCGGCACTCATCTCACTTTATTGGCTGAGGGAGCCGGCGTACAGCTTCCGGGTCATGTGGCCAGCATGACTAAGCCGCTTCTGGCGAACCAGAGCAGTGAATGGAAACGCCGCTTACATTACTGCTGGAGCGGTACCTATTTATCTACTTGCACTTTAACGTGCTTTCGAAATGCTAGGTGGGCAGGAGCAGGGACCGAGCAATGGGAGCTCACCCCGTTGCGGGTATTCGAACCGCCGACCTTCTGATCAGCAAGTCCTAGGCTCTGTGGTTTAACCCACAGCACCACCCACGTCCCTTTTATAGGAAACTAGTTGCAGGTTAATTTCTAGTTGCAGAAACTAGCTGCAGGTTAATTAAAGTGGTGCTTCAGGTTAAGAACAGTTTCAGGTTAAGAACAGACCTCCAGAATGAATTAAGTACTTAACCTGAGGTACCACTGTAAAAGGTTTTGTGTTGTAAAATGCAATATACAAATGTGACACTAGATGGCGACAGTGAGCTATGGCAAATTCAATATACCGTATTTTTCGCTCTATAAGACGCACCAGACCACAAGATGCACCTAGTTTTTGGAGGAGGAAAACAAGAAAAAAAATATTCTGAATCTCAGAAGCCAGAACAGCAAGAGGGATCGCTGCGCAGGGAAAGCAGCAATCCCTCTTGCTGTTCTGGCTTCTGTGATAGCCGTACAGCCTGCATTCGCTCCATAAGGCGCACACACATTTCCCCTTACTTTTTAGGAGAGAAAAAGTGAGTCTTATAGAGCAAAAAATACAGTATTTTTCAAAACTTTTTAAAAGCATTTTCACAGCGTTTTTAAAAAAATATGTGTGTAGATTCCACCCCAGTTTCATTATATCTAAAAGCAACAGGAGACATCATTATGACGAAGAAGAAAAGCCATAAGGCGAAATGGTAACCTCTCAGAAGTGGAGAATCTCTCAGTCGCGGGTAACTTTCTTTGATGTATAGCTTAATCATGCTTCATGCTTTGTTTTAGGCCCCCTCACTGTTAACTCCTCTCAAACCAGCCCTCAGGCTGTATTTCACATGAGCATTTAATCCAAACAGTGTACTTTATAAGAATTTCAACAACAACAACAACAGTTTATATGCCACCCACCTGACTGGATTGCCCCAGCAACTCTGGGTAGCTCCCAACAAAATATTAAATGCACAGTAAAACATCCACCATTAATGCTCCAGAGGAAGGCAGAAGTTAGCCCAAGGCAGACATGCTGGAGAAGAAGACTGATCAGTTACTAGTCTATCAGGACCCTGGATCACTGTCCAGGGAGAAGAATACAGCACTTGCTGCCTCTGAGCTCTTATATTCAGCCTAGCTCTGACTACCCTTCTCCCAAGCACATCCTTCCTCAGAAGTGAAGAGTCTTACATGGGCAGCCCTCAAAGCCAAGACTTCCTTGCCTTTCTATCCGTTCCCACCTGGTGCAAGACCTATCTTCTTCTTCTTTGGTGATCACCCATAGCCGAGTAAAATTGTCTTCCATAAACACAGTTTTAACAGTGAGTCCATAAGTGACTGTGGAGGCCAATTCTGGATCCTTCCACAGTGGGGACATAGGTTTCTGGGTGGGAATTGATCACTGTGAGGGTTTGCCAAGTGTGCCTTCCTCTTAGCACATTTCTCCCTTTCGTCCTGAGTTCCAGCGTCTTCAAAGCCCATGGCACCTTTGGTAAAGGCTGTTCTCCAACTGGAGTGCTGGCAGGCCAGTGTTTCCCAGTTGTTGGTTTGTATACTACATTTTTAAAGATTTGCCTTAAGAGAGCTGCCAAACCTCTTTTGCTGACCACCAGCATCACGCTTTCCATTTTAAAGTTCGGAATAGAGCAGTTGCTTTGGGAAACGTGTAACTGTGTGCCAGCATTGGGGGGCAGGATCCCTGGGAAGAATCCTTTGGCTAAGGGGGTGCTATCTCTGGGAATCCTGGTCCCAGAATCTTGGGCTCCCGGGACTCTTGAAAGGTTCAGGTTCAGACATTCTGCTCATTCTCCAACACTGAATAAATTGTTCAAAATGATGCAGGGGAATGTAATTTCCCGGATATATAAAAATGAAAGGCTGTCCTCATGCAGTCGACACTGGAGGATTTCTACTGCCGCATCACAACCCGGGATTTCTGTGAAGAGACTGGGGGAGAGGAGAAAACAAAAATATCATAGAATCGTAGAGTTGGAAGGGACCAATCAGGTCATGATGCTGGAAGATGAAGCACGTTGCACAACAGCGGAGGGAAATTGAACCTTCACCGTGAGAGGGAGGATAAAGTATGCACACCCCTGAAATATCCCATAATCCCTTCCCACAATGTGCTGTCTTCAACATGAAGTCACAGATTCCATGTGGAAATTGGGAAGGTGAGCTGTTTTATTAACAAGCAAGCAAACACCCATGTAAACAAAGCAACCATCAACTGACTTTCACCTTATCTAACTGTACAAACTGAGAAAGGTTCTTAAAACACGGCCAGTATCGGGTGTGCACACAAGCAGAGCTGCAGAATCGGAAGGGACGGTGGCTTGATATTAGGGCAGAAGGCGAGTGAAATATACCCGAAGTCGGGTGTGAATTTCATGCTCTTTATTCAGCTCGTAGTAGCAATGAACGAAACTTTCCCCAAAATGTCTAGCTATGCAGTCATACCTCGGGCTGAAGACGCTTCAAGTTGAGCGCGTTCGAGTTGCGCTCCTCGGCAACCCGGAAGTAACGGAGCGTGTTACTTCCAGGTTTCGGCACTTGCGCATGCGCAGACGCTCAAAATGATGTCATGCGCATGTGCAGAAGAAAAGCATCGTGCGCGTGCGCAGATGCGCCATCGCTAGTTACGTTTACTTCTAGATACGAATGGGGTTCCGGAACGGATCCCGTTCGTATCTAGAGGTACCACTGTATAAACATTATTTACACAACATGATTGGCTAATTCCGGGCTGCTCCTGTAGGCCAATCAGGTTGTGGATTCACTTCCTCCAGAAGCCTGATTGGTTGCTCCTGCAGGCCAATCAGGTCGCTGATTCACTTCCACCTGGAGCTGGATTGGGTGGCTCCTGCGGACCAATCAGACTGCTGCATTCTGGATCCTATTGATCTAGGATTCAGCTCAGTACATAACACCCCTTCCCTCTAAGTTCCAGTCCTGCCCGGGAGGTTGCATTCATTCGTAGTCCTCAAGGTACACTAGCTGCCTACATATGCGTTGTGGCCCGGGGTGTTTCTTGGTCATGGGTTCTGGTTCTGGCTCGTGTTCCGAGGCTGCTGGCTGTGATGGGGCTGTTTGGTCTGGCGCAACTGGACCGCTCGGTCGCGGCTCTGGTTTCGGTGTCCTTTCGGCCTCGGGGGTCCCCTCTGTACTTACTGATTCTGCCTCCCCTGCCCACCCCTCCTGCTCTATGGGCCTCACCACCCAGCTGTCCCCTTGGAACAAACATTGCAATGAGTCACTGCAATGTTTGGGTGGAGGAATACCGCAGCAGCCACCGTGGAGGTGGTCTGTGTACAAGGAGGCTTGCCCCAAAGGAGGGGGGAGGCATGGTCGTGGAGGGTAAAATGAGGGGTTCAAGGTGGGGCTGCAAAAGAGAGAAGTGTCTTCAGAAATAGGGCTGGGTGAAAAGTCTGCGTGTTTCTAAATTCCCCTCCATAATAGCAGCAAGGAAAGGCTATGACAAGGGACACATAGAGGCGCCTTTGGCCCAATTGCTCAGCTTCAATGTGTGGCAACCACAGGAATTGCATCCTTCTGCCCATGCCAAAAGATGTCACTGGGTGCATCGGAGTGTGTTAAGATTTTTGGACGTTTCTTGGTGAGTCCCATTTTCAGAACATACTGCCAGCCTAACTCCTAGCGGACAATGTCCCTCCCCCGCCATAAAATATTGGGGGGGGGGGGGCTGCAATATGGGCATTGCCATTCAAACGGCGTGTGTGTCATGTGACTGATTATGTGGGGAGGGGCTTACCTGGTTCTCCAATATTTTATTCAAGTTGGCCCTCCTGGCATGGGTGTAGGCAATAAAATAAAACTACTTAAGTAACTGAGGTTCTGCCCCCCCCAACATAAATCCTGGCTACGGGGGGGGGGGTTATGGGGGCAGTTGCCCCCCCCCCAACCAATACAAATCAAGACAAATCTGAGATTCTCCCCGCTCCAACAAAAGCCTGCCCCCCAACATGACCCCGATGGACATTCAAATGGGGCGCACCACGTCTTGTGATTGATTATGCGGGACAGGGATTGCCTGCCTCCCACCCCATATTATAATTCAAGTTGGCACGCCTGTGCAGGGCACTTCCAACGCGCCAAGGGCTGCGGACCCCGGCGCCTGCTTGCCAACGCCTCGCTGGGCTGCGCCGGTGAGCTCCAAACGCGTGGGGAGCGAGCTCGGGGTCTGCACCGCCCCACAGAAGGGAGGACCTCGTGACCCACTTTGCCGGCGGAGGTCACTGTCGGTCATTGCCTTCCCGGTTCCGGGAGCGGCGTAAGCCTCTCGGGCGCGCGCGCGCACGCCCCCTTTCCCTCCTAACCTCTCCCTCTCCCCGGCGGCGCATCAGCTGCTAAGGGGAAAGTCCCGGCTGACGCGCCGGCTGCGCACCCGGCTGGCCATGCGAGGGCCATGCATGCAACGGAGTCCCTCCGCGGCCAACGGCGCCGTCCAACAGCAGATTGCGGGCAGCCAATGCGGAGCGCGCAGCGAGGTGGCACCAAAGTGCCGGCGACCAATGGGAGGCTCTCTCCAAGTGCCAAGGTACCAGCCTCCTGATCGCCTCTGCGCCCAGCTGCGCTCCACTTAAGCGGCGCCACCGGACCCGTCAAGGCATCCTTTCCGGCGGAGTTGCGCAGAGTGGACGGACCCTGATCGCCCCGTGGTGCGCCTCTGGACATCGTCGCCGTGCAAACAAAGGGCCGGAGAGAGAGAGACCGGGCACCTCCTGGGGGGTTACTCGCGTTCAGGGCTCGGGCAACTTAAATAGCTGCGCACCAGCGCGCACAGCAGTCAAAGGAGCGTGGGGACTTGGAGGTAGCTGCGCACCAGCAGAGCCGGGAAAGAGCATCGCCGAGAGAGCATCGCGCCGCAGGAAGAGCAGCACAAAGCCCTCTTCCGATGCCTGCCCAACTAGCCCACGGGGAGGTAAGGCGCCGCTTCCTCCTCCTTAATAATTTTTATTTTATTTTTTAAAATGGTGAGTCGCTTTCTCTTGCCCAAGGCAACCCAGAGCGGCTGACGACTCATCCATTCCCCTTGGTAGGTCGTTGCTGCCTGTCCCGCGGGATGGGGGTGCGTGGACAGCTCCTTCTCCATCCGACCCCCTGGCTTGGGAAGCCCGGTCCTCATCCTTTCCTGGGCAAGAGCCGGGGATCAGCATCCTTCCTGCCTGCCTGCCTGCTTGTCCCTTCCCCTCCAGCTTCCCAGAGCAGCTCCATTTCCCCAAGCATCCCCTTCCTTTAGTGTTATCATCCTTCTTTGATGGCCGCGTCAAAAGGCCCTGCAAAAACGTCCATTAAAAAAAAAAACCCAAAAGCATTCCGGTCTTTTCCCTGCGCGCACCTCCTTAAACCAGAGGGTAAGTCGTCCCTCTCGTGTGAATAATGCAAGCCCCGCGCCGAGGTCTTGCCCTGCAGCCAGGCCTTCCACAGCCCGACCTGGTTTTTGCAACGGCTTCTGTGCGCAAGGGGGCGGAGGCGCTGCGCAATCGCTGGCGATGCGCGCCGCGGAGCGAGGCAGGGGGGCGTCACTAGCCGGGCCATTGGCAGCGGCTTTGTGATGGAGACAGTGGGGAAAGCTGCCGGCTGCAGCCTTCTTTGCCTTTTCCTGGGAGCAAACCCTGTTAAAGGCAGTGGGGTTTGCATGGGAGTAAACACGTATGCGCTGCGTTGGAGGGAGAGAACCCAGTCTCTCCAAGCCACGACTGCGCCACTGGTTGGATCTTCTTTTTCACCCGATGCCTCACTGCGGTCCTGGCAGCCCAGCTGCAGCTCCGAGTATGACAGGCTGCAGTCTCAATTTGCATTTACTTGCGAGCAAGCTCCTTTGCAACGCGCCCCCGGATTGAAACGTGCACGTTAGTTTCTCTTTGGCAGAAGAGCTTTCGGCGAAAAGGGTATCCTTGCCAGGGCTTTTAGCAAGATTATAGAATGAGCAGGTTACTCCCGGGAGGCCACCTGGCCTTTAGGAATGCGGTTTCTGCTGCCAACTCGCCTTTAGCATGCTTGAGAGAGCATCCAGGTCATTCTCAAAAGCCTCTTCCGCTGACAATACCTGTCCAGTCAAAAACGGCAGGCAGCCTTTGGCGGATGGGGGGGGGGGAGGACTGCATAGGTGCCACAGATCTACACAAGCTAAGCATCCACAGATCTACACAAGCTAAGCATCTGTGTTGTCTCAATGCCAGGAAAGAAAGTGATAATACTAGCGTGTTCTTGCATGAGTGGCCAATCTTTTATGTTACTCATAACTTGCTACAGTGCACATCTGGTTCCCTGGATTTCAAATATCCAGGAGCCAAACCTCCTTAGGTGGTGGTCTCACATGCCCTCAGGCAATATTGTTAATAAATGTTGCTGCTAATAGAAATACATTTGACCAAAAGTTCAATGAAACACAAAAAGCTGCTTATTTTTTAAATTTTCCTCCATGCAAACTGGTCTGTTAAAAGGAAACGAGTTACTCATTCTGTATTCTCCAGGACCATCGTAAAAAAGAAGTCTCGACTCCAGTGTTCATTTCATATTCAATGCAGTAATGCTCCTTATTCATTTCTCTTGCTAGAAATAGCCCGTCGTGTCCCAGAGGCTCAAAGCTGTTTCCAAATCCCAAGAAATTAGACTGCAATCTCACACCCCCTAAAGCAATTACAGTACAGTACTGACTTCTCTGTAGACGTAGTTAGGACTGCAGGCCTAGTTACCGTCTCAGTGATTCTCTGTATCAAACAATGTTGATTCACATTGTTCAGCGGGGTTTCCTTCCTTCCTTCCTTCCATGTGTGCATTACACGGGATTGCAGCCTAGATCTTTTTAAATTCTCCATTAGAATGAATGGGACTTAAGAAGTGTTTGACTTTGGCTATAAATTGTGTCCCTTGCAACTTACCATCACATTGATACTATAGCAATGTTAATTGGTTTGTAGAAAAAGGTGGGAACCTTTGGACTCTCAGACGGAATGGAAGGGTAGATCTTCTCCAATGAGCTTTCTTTGGCATTCCTGTATGTTTTTATATGTTCTGGAAGCTGCCCAGAGTGGCTGGGGAAACCCAGCCAGATGGGCAGTGTATAAATAACATTATTATTATTATTATTATTATTATTATTATTATTATTATTCGCCTTATGTGGTTACCATTGCACAAGGAGGGAGAGGGGGGCGCACTATCCCTTCCATCACATTTCTGTCACTCCTTGTTGCATCACCTCCCCCTTTGTTACATCATCCCTGCTTCTCCTGCATCTCTCTTAAGGCGTGACAGGGAAGCCTGTCTACTTGGGCAAGCTTGAGCCCTGATTTTTTGAAGGCTCCAAATTACACGGGCCACCCACACAAATCCAATGAGGCTGCAACTGAAGCAATCATTCAGTTAGCGAAATGAGAACAGATAAAACAATAACCGCGGCTGTGAAACACAGAGCGTCTGATTTGCTCACTGTTGCGCTGCAGAGTTAACAGTGGTGAATAGCCTGGCAGAATAGCCAGCTCTTATGCTGATGCTGTAACTGAGCTAAAGTGAGTGCCAAACATAACTCAGGTTAGAGGGTATTCCACATTTGGGGTGCCACCACAGGGAAGGCCTTCTCCTGTGTCACCGAATGGTTTCCAAAGTCACGATGATAAAAAGAGCCCATCTCAAAGATCTTAATGCCGGGCTACTGCAATGCTGCGTCAGATTTCTATGTCCCAAGCCTTTCATGGATCACACCCAATGCTTTGAATTCTGACCAGAAACATATTACAGTGGTACCTCAGGTTACGAACTTATTTCGTTCCAGAGGTCCGTTCTTAACCCAAAACCGTTCTTAACCTGAGGCGCGCTTTTGCTAATGGGGCCTTGCGCCGCCGCACAATTTCCATTCTCATCCTGGGGCAAAGTTCTTAACCCGAGGTACTACTTCCGGGTTAGCGGAGTTTGTAACCCAAAGTGTTTGTAACCTGAGGTGTTTGTAATCTGAGGTACCACTGTATTTATTTTATGTCATTCATTTCACAAAATTTGCACACTGCTTGATTGTAAAAAGAAAAATACCATATTAGGTTAAGGTCTGATTAACTACAATAATAATTTCCTCCCCTTTTTTGCAATGTACACAATATATTTTTGTTGTTGTTGTTGTTGTACTGTTTCATTTTCCACATGGGTACTATTTCTTGTTTCTCCTGTGCGCTTGTAAAGAATGCATACCTATTTATATAATCGTGCATATATTCCAATCCTCGGGATATATTTAGAAAAAAAGAAAAGGGAAATCCCTAAAAGCAGCTTACGACCCTGCATTAGCAGAGTTGCTTCCAGGCTGCGTAAGGGCGCCATCCCACGCCTCTCTTCTCAGAAGTAAGCTTAGTGGGTTCAGTGGGGCTTGCTCCCAGGGAAGTGGGTGTCAGGATTACAGCGTTCATCACCCTGCAGCTTCACTGAAATGGATGAGCCAAACCGTGCCTAACTTTGAGATTGAAGCATGACGATAAGACCAGTCCCTGATGCTATTCACTCTCACCAGGCCAGGTTTAGAAGCCAGAAGCCGTGGGGAGACTCCTCCCAGCACCTATGTGGGTTTTTGCAGCGAGAAAACCTGGTCGCTTAGAGGCAAGCAGTTCATTTACCTGCCACTGCAATTAACTGCAGGCTTATTATTATTTTTGGAACCAGGGACTGAGGAGGAGCAGGAGGAGCCAACCTTCCTGGGTCCTCCTCGTGTGTAGTTTTGGTACAGTCTGTGTAAGCTGCTTTGATTGGCGGAGGTGGCTGTGGGGTGAGGGTGAGGAGAGCACATTAGTCATTGTGGTTCTGGGCTGAGGTGATGAGGTGGAGAGATTTTATGGGATTTGGGGGGGAAGGGGCCCTCCTGCCAGTCCCAGCCCCTTTGATGCCTTCATTGTTCTGTCTCTCCCTACCGGTCAGAGGCAATAGACATAATTACAGCCAGCTCAAAAGACTATACAGGAACCTCTGTGGAGCTGTTTTTTGGAGTAGTCTAAAGAAAGCCAGGCTGATTTATTTCCATTTACGAATCGCTTCCTGTCTCGAAACTGTTAGCAATAAAAACCTCAAACAGAAGACATTCTCTTAAATTAGTTGCTTGACATGATTATCTTTACAATTTTATTTCAGCTCCTTATTTATTTTTTCCTTGGGCTCTCTCTATGTGTGTGTGGCCTTGCTTCTTTTAAATTTTGTTTTTATTTTACCTTTTGATGATTTTTATGCATGTTGCATATCGCCTCACCTTTCAAATGCCAGCTGAAAACTTTTTCTTTTCTATCATACTAATGCAGGCAATTAAGAATACATTTTTCCACAACTTTCTTGGTGTGGCCTTTCTTGTACGGCTTCATATATTAATGCTGCAAAGTGCTCTGCTTTTCCCTCCAGTGAATGATTTATAAAGCAAACAAACAGATCATTTCATTTCCCCATTGCTGACTGTTATTTCCTTCTGTGCCGAAGATTTCAATATACTGTATAGACAAACAAACAACAAACAAACACTAATTTCATATACAAAAACAATTCAAATCTAATGCAGATGCTGACTGGACTAATTTAACATGCCCATTTTCTTTCTACTGTACGGTGACTTCCAGCTAAAGTCATCATAAGGGGGCATGATATGTTATTGAACTACAGCTCCCATCATCCATTGCTGGGGCTGATAGGATTTGGAGTTCAAAACATGTAGAGGGCACCACACTGACCATCCCTTCTCTGGTTGCTATGAAGGCTTTAGAAGAGGAATAAACATGGTTAGGAAAAGGAGGGGAAATCTGGTACAGTTTCATTGAGTATGACCTGTCAGGAGACTCAAGACATCCCAGGAATGAAAATCATTTATTTATTTTTTGAATTTGCATTTTTTGAATTTGTTAACATTCTTATATTACATCGGTAAACGTTGTCATATTACATTACAGGACTTACTATAATATAATTTCCAACACGTATACAAAAATTATATACAAATTTTATATACCTAGAAAGAAAATGAAACAAACCAAAAAAAAAGAACAAAGAGAAAAAACAAAAACAAATCCCCCCCAAATCATATACATACCAACACACTAGACTTCTTGTCTATCCTGTTGTATATTCCTTTTTTACAAATGAATGTACTCTTATTATTGTATATTTCTTTACATTTTATCTAATACATTCCTATATCAATATGACTGATATCAATCAATATCAAATAAGTCTTATTTCTCAACTCATTCTCACTCCAATGTCAATCAAATGCTAGCGTAGATAGCGAACCTTTACTGTACAGGAATGAAAATCAAGATGAGAAAAGGTTACTGTCCTCACCCTTTGCTATATACGGGGCTTATTTCCCCCAGCCAGAGCTCACCGGAGCTCAGCTCCGGCACCTCTCTGGTGGGCACCGTTGCCATCCTAAGAGAATAAGGGGAAAATTCGTGGTAAGCTCTGGCACCTCTGGGGATAGGGCAAATGCTTCATGCCACTGCTCCTGGTCTGATACCCATTGCTGTGAGAAGAGGCTTAATACCGTATTTTTTGCTCTATAAGACTCACTTTTTCCCTTCTAAAAAGTAAGGGGAAATGTGTGTGCGTCTTATGGAGCGAACGCAGGCTGCGCAGCTATCCCAGAAGCCAGAAAAGCAAGAGGGATTGCTGCTTTCACTGCGCAGCGACCCCTCTTGTTGTTCTGGCTTCTGAGATTCAGAATATTTTTTTTTCTTGTTTTCCTCCTCCAAAAACTGGGTGCGTCTTGTGGTCTGGTGCGTCTTATAGAGCGAAAACTACGGTATATGGCAGGTCTCAAGAGTAGCTTTTTGCACCATCTTAGTGCCTGCTCCCGCTTGCATTGTGATTTTCTCATGTGGGCGGGATCTCAGTGCTATTTGCCAGTTCGGAGGAGGAGGCAGCGTTGGAGAATGACTTCCCTGCTGCCAGCTGCGCCCGGCTGGAGCCTGTCTCCTGATCTACTCTGTTCTCCGACGAGTCTCTCATCAGGTCATGTCGCCTTTCTTGAAACCTTCTGATGGTGTGACAGTGCGAGTCACTTCTGAAACAAACTATGTAATGTCCTTTCGATCGAAGTGCCAGCAATTAGGAAGAATTAAGATCTGGAATTTAGATAAATGCTTTGTGTTGTTTATGGGAGGGAGGGTTATATCATTGATCACCTGATGCTTCATTGGAACAGTTGCATAAGGTCAAAATGGGTTGATTGGGAATAGCTACCGCTGGCCTGTTTCCTTGTATGACGGCAGTCACTAGTCTGAAAGAACTGCCACACAGAGATGGGCACTAAATGAAGGTTGCCATCTTGCTTATGTGTAGAAAAGAAGTGGCCGTGTGCCACGATACCTTGGTTTTTTGCCAGCTTGTTTAAATGATGATAATTACAAGCAACAATTAGCAGTGGCTTCCCAACATGGCCCATCTTCCTGAACGTGCCTCAGGGCCCAGGAGCCATTTAGCCGCCTGTGGATTTGCCTAACATAACAAGAGCTTTGATTCCAATTCTTCTCTTTGTGACTTTGGTTTTTGTTTCCCTTTCTCTGCCCCTTGTGCCAGATTCCCTCAGATTTCTCCACCACCACTGCCTTCGCTCGCGTGGCCCAGAATGGGGCTGCTAGCATGGAGAAGGTCCACTCCGCCCATGAGGACATCGGACCTCGCAGAGAGATGACTGATGACGTTTTCGATGAGACCTATCGTGAGAAAGAAGGCCCCAAGCCGCAGAAGAGATACGTCTGGAGGAACATAATTCTCATGTCCCTCCTCCATTTCAGTGCCGTGTATGCAGCTGTCTGGCTCACCCCTACAGCGAAGTTTGCCACCTTGGTGTGGGGTAAGCAAAGAACGTGTTGATTTCCCTCTGAAGGAATTGCCTGCTTGTTTTGCTCTGTTTTCTGACCTCCTGCGCAATGGGATCTGCCTCTCATCATTGCCGTGTTCAGCCTTGCTCTCAGAGGGCCTCGGGGAGAATTAATTACCACCTGTGAACACAGGAACAGGCTCCATCGGGAAGCATTGTGGTTGTTGTTTTTTAATTAGTTCAAAAGCGTATTGTAGCACACACTTAAGTTCCCTCCTCAAGGCAGGCCCATCTGCATTGCCAATGCCCTCATAGCCGTTAAGATGCACATCCTTTCCTTCTAAAAAAAATATTTAGTAAGCTGATTTTTGTACGCAAAGGCATTTTTTTTTAAAGTCCCTTTACACCTGGGCCGGTTAACCCTCTTGGGGGCAGCTCACCAGAGTTACTATGTTAGGGTCATGGCAGATGAGTCACTATTGCTTACTGAGAAGGAGAAGCATTGGGGAGGTCAGCGCGATGCAAACACACCAACAGAGCCAATCTGGTGCTCCCGCTGAACCCTAAGCTGGCTTCATTTGTTAAGTTTACTTATTGCATTTATATGTCTGCCAAGACACCCAAGGCAGCTTGCAATTTTAAAGTATTAAGACGTCACATGCAAAAGTTAATCTTGTTGATGAGTGACTTCTGAGGATGACTTAGTTGCATACAACGCACAGCATGAAAGCAGGTCTGTTATCAATCTTTCAGGAAGGCTATTCCTTCTCAGTAGAATTGCAAGCAGTTTTGTTTTTGATTCCATCCCTCCGCTGAACATGTGCACAGCTAAACTGTCCTAAGAGACCATGTGCTATGCATATGTTCCTAATTAAATGGACAAATAGTGGACTGAAGATATAAACAAAAACCAATACAGTGGTACCTCTGGTTATGAACTTAATTTGTTCCAGAGGTCCGTTCTTAACCTGAAACCGTTCTTAACCTGAGGTACCACTTTAGCTAATGGGGCCTCCTGCTGCCGCCATGCCTCTGTTGCACGATTTCTGTTCTCATCCTGAGGTAAAGTTCTTAACCCGAGGTACTACTTCTGGGTTAACAGAATCTGTAACCTGAAGTGTTTGTAACCTGAGGTGTTTGTAACCCAAGGTACCACTGTACTCAAATCCTGACATCCATGCCATCCCCTTAAAAAGAAACGTGAAATACTCTTCGACATCCTATTTTCCACTAGAAAAACAAACGTTTCACCATGCTTGTCGAAAGCAATGGGGCAAACAAGGACTTTTTGAGTGGTTTGCCTCCATAAACTCGCACCAAATAGTAAATTGCTACCACTTGAGGGCATTAGACCAACCACTACACCTGATGCAGGCCATAGAAGGCTCTCTCTCTCCCTCTCCCCATAGCTGTCAACATTTCCCCCTTTTTAAGGGAAATTCCCTTATTCCGAATAGGATTCCTTGCAAGAAAAGGGAAAAGTTGACAGCTATGATACACACACACACACACGCCTCTAAAATGGCCACTTCTTGGGTGACTTGCGAATAAACAGCATAGGAAGCAAAATAAATACTCTCCTCCCTACAATGTGAACATTGGGGTTTCTTCTTTTTATCCCTTTTGAAACTCTGCTCTTTAGAAAGCTTTAGCAGAGAGGCTGCTTTGTTTAGACTTCATAGGGATATGTAGCCAATTCCAGCCAAGGGTGCTTCTTCACCTCAGAGTGGATGCTGTTGCATGCTTTCAAAGGGCAGTTTCAGAGAAACTAATATTTATGGGGTGTGTCTCTTAACATTCCTTCTGGGAAACGTCCATGCTCTCATTTTGAGAATGCTGCTATTTTCAATGTTCTCTCCTTCTGAAATATGCGCTCCTTGTAGGAATGCAACATACAAAAGTTCCTAAGATCAATGCCTGGCATCTTGAAGTATGATTGGGGGAAGGGAGCCCTGTTTATGACCCTGAAGGTCTTCTCAATGATGAGTGAGAATGACCACTGGTCTGCTTCCTATCTCAGATGGAAAAGATGGGAAATGTATTCTGGGTGAGATGGAGTTGCAGATTTGGTGGATGGAAACCCTGTCTTTCACCTTGAGCCCTTTGAAGAAAGGTGGAGTCTAAATGCAGTACATAAACAAACAAATAACAATGGAGAAACTCCAGGAACTCCATCCCTTTAATGCAGGAGGAGGACAATCTATTTCAGTCGCTTACCCAGCCAGTGTTTTAAATTCAAATAAATTTCAGCTCAGTAGTTTCAACCTATGGCAGCTATAAAATCCCATTGATAGCCACAATGACAAAGCCTTTGGGGGGGAGGGGGGAGGAAACACATTTGACATCAGGTGACATTCTGAAACTGGCAAGATAGCCTCTTCCAGGCCTCAGCCTGTTTGCCCTTGTCCCAATATCCGCCTTGCTGCATCACTGCAAAGAACAGCTGAGGAACCACAAAATGCCACCCCACTTTGAATTGCCTGAATTCTGAAAGATATGAATGTCTGATTTGTGGTAACTGGAAGAACTTTATCCCCTTTATTCTCTGATCCTCACTGTTCACATACTGCAGAATGGACTGGCTCCTGGGCACTGATTAGTACACATAATAACCCGTACATAATAACCGGTCCCTGCTTATTATCTTCTCTTTTTTATTGTGGTAGGTGTAGTTCTTTATAGACAAAGCTATGGAGATACTTTTTTATACTGCCATGTTTAAAATGTGATTTGACGCCGCCAGCAGCAATAATGATAACAGATTACAAGAGCTGATTGTGCCAACTGCTCTGTATGGATCCATCAACCAGGGTGTTTGGAATTGGGCCATAATGGGGCAATTTGCACTTTCTAATCAGGTGAACCTGTGGGGCTGCCCTCTTTAAAAAGAGGGAAGCAACCCCAAGTTACATATTGAGAACTTAAAGCGGCCCCAAATGAAAGGCCTGGAAACAAGGAACAAGGGATAAATGTTCTGTTTTTGTTTCTTGTTGTTTATTTTGGTCCAGCTGACTCAGATTTTTCACAATAGAAGCCGAAATATTCGGCATCAGCTGAGTCCCCACAAAGGCCCTTTGTTCTGAACAAGGAGCCCAATTTTAAAGACAATGTTTTGGTCATTTCCCCTGAGAAGCCATTGTGCTTCGAGAACAGCACTGCCTTCTGCGTTTCAGATGTGCTAGTTATACGGTCTGTCCTCACAATTGATCCCTCTAGGTTGACTGTGTTAACAATCCTTCAGCATCATTTCAAGGCCATCGTTTCAAGCAGCCAATTTAGGAGACTAGCAGCGATATCATTGCTACAAACGGTGGGAGGTGACTTTCCCTCTCACATACCCAACATTTCTCTGATGAAAATAGGGACGTCCTATTCCATAATAAGGGATGCGGGTGGCGCTGTGGTCTAAACCATTGAGCCTCTTGGGCTTGCCAATCGGAAGGTCGGCGGTTCGAATCCCCGCAATGGAGTGAGCTCCCTTTGCTCTGTCCCAGCTCCTGCCAACCTAGCGAAAGCACACCAGTGCAAGTAGATAAATAGGTACCGCTCCGGTGGGAAGGTAAACGTCATTTCCGTGCACTGTTCTGGTTCGCCAGAAGCAGCTTAGTCATGCTGGCCACATGACCCGGAAGCTGTCTGCGGACAAACGCCAGCTTCCTCGCAACCCCAGAGTCGTCCGTTACCCGACTTAACAGTCAGGGGTCCCTTTACCTTTACTAATCCTTAATAATACTACTACTATACCACGCCCATGTGACTGGGTTGTCCCAGTCATTCTGGGCACCTTCCAACACATATAAAAACATAAAACATTGAACATTAAACAACTTCCCTATGCAGGGGTGCCTTCAGAGGTCTTCTAAAGGTTGTATAGTTACTTATCTCCTTGGCTCAGGGGCACATAACTCTATACCCTCCAACATTTCTCCAGTGAAAATAGGGAGATCGTACCATACCCTCCCAACAATTGTCCAACGAAAATAGGGGTGTCCTAAGGAAAAGCAGGACATTCCAGGATCAAGTCAGGAACAGGGACGGCTTCTCAAAATCCGGGCCTGTCCCTGGAGAATAGGGACACTTGGAGGGTCTGCAATTAGTGATTTGATTCAGAGCAGAGTTAACACCTAGGGTTCGAGGAAGCAGGGGAATTTTCAGCACTCGATGCAGTAAGGCTGTTTCTGCCCAAAGTGACTTGAGCACAATAACAGTCCCTTGCGACAGCTATGCATGCTGTCTACTCCTATGCGCAGCAGAGGATCAGGTTTTGCAAGCAGAGCGATCAGGTTTCTGAGCATCCTCTGCTTTCAGAAGCTGAAATGCAGTCTTCTATTGATTCCCATATCAGGATTGGCACTGCCAGCCAAATTATGGTTTCTCTCCCCAGCCCCAACCACTAGTTGCCAGCTTCTAAGGAAGCATCAAAAGCTGTATTATTTCAGTAGGTGTTTTAAAAGGTCTTTTTTCTCAGTTTGGCTTTTTGCTCTTCTGTTTCTGCCTCTTCTGACTGTTTGGTTCTCCCTTTACATTTCCCATTTATGTTGTTTTAAGAAGTTGTTCAGTTTAAAGATGTCCAGTGTGCCTTTTTCCTAGAAAGGTGGGCTATACATTTCAATTTACATTAAAAAATAGGTACCGTATTTTTTGCTCTATAAGACGCACCAGACCACAAGACGCACCTAGTTTTTAGAGGAGGAAAACAAGAAATAAAATATTCTGAATCTCAGAAGCCAGAACAACAAGAGGGATCCCTGCGCAGTGAAAGCAGCAATCCCTCTTGCTGTTCTGGCTTCTGGAATAGCTGCGCAGCCTGCATTCGCTCCATAAGACGCACACACATTTCCCCTTACTTTTTAGGAGGGAAAAGTGAGTCTTATAGAGCAAAAAATACGGTAATTTTGTTTTCCACATGAGCAGCTAAAGAAGCAGGAGAGCTGATCTAGTAAAAGAGGAAGTCTCTGCTGGCTCAGCAGAGCTTACAATCTGTTGTTCTTGACTTATCTATCCATAGCGCACTTGCTTTGTGGTTAATCTGTGGCTTGGTTGCTCCTTCCACAAGACTAGCAACAATAGACCTGCCCATAAACATTTAATGACTCTCCTTATCTTTTTAGAACTTCTGCTATTGCCTCCTTTTAATAAACTCTGCACTTGCGATGCATGCAGGAATTGTGCAATTAACCTACCATGATATTACAAGTATTGTTGAGGAGGGGTTCATGACTCACACGCCAGATGCAAAGCCTTGCTAGCTGGGAAATAATTGCATTTGCCCCATCAATAAGATATAATTTAGATCTGGAAATATGCGATGTCTCCGGCCCAAAGTTGCCTGGATCTCATGCAACAAATACTTTTTGTATGCCAAAAATTAACAACAATTAAGAAATCAGATGTTTGTGAAGTGGATCTCTTGATATGCCCTAAAAGCTCAGACACAGATTTGCAGTGTTGGGTCAAACCTGTCTGAATGGCAATTCTTTGCCTTCTGTTTTTCTAAAAAATCGAACTCCAGGTTCTTCCTTCAAATGAGTATTATTATTGTTTTGTGTTTTTTAAATATTTTTTATTAGATTTTCCACAGTGATAACACAAACCACAAAGCAAAATGATACACAAAAAACAGAAAAAGAAAAAAGGGGGGAAAGGGGGAACGATAAACAGATAAACAATAACAACAAACTTAATTCTTCACAAATCCAACCTTTTAAACATCTTGGTTGACTTCCTCAAATCCCTCCCTTCTGAGTTTCCTTGTAATTAAAAGTAACAGCTTTCCAATATCATTATTAAACTAAAACAATTTCCAATTATAGTCCATCTTATTCACTTTTCTTAACATTCTAAATCCCATTTCTTTAATTATAACTTAATTTAATCCTAGGCCTCTTTGTTTCTTTCAAGTAATTTCTAATTTTTTTATATTACAATATTTATTCAAATAGTCCTTGAATTTCCTCCAGTCCTTATTATTGTTTTTTTTTTTAGCAATGCTTACGTTTGTGAGTTGCAGTGGGATAACGCTGAAGTAGGCTTCTTTCAATTCACTCTCTCAAGTCAAGTCAAGTAACCTTTATTGGCATCACATAAGAACATTCAGAATACATTCAGAATAGATAGGCCAGTGGAATCTCGTCGCCACCCCAGCGGCGCAGCCACCCACCAAGGGGCAGAAGAGGCGAGCAATCCGCCTCATCTCTGTGGGTTTCCAGCAAGGGAAGGATCCTGTAGCATACATTGGCGACAAAAAAAATCAAATAGAGGACTGTCTTGGTGAGCTCCTGGTCACCTGCGCATAACCTCTGTCTCTGGTTTCCATGTTGGAATACATAGATGGTCTAGAAATTGTTGGCGGAGATCATCATACAATTTACATTTAAGGGCCATGTGAGCTAGAGTTTCCACCAGGTGGGCATCACATTGGCAGATCCTATCTCCTTCTGCCAAACCCGCAAGCCTACCCCAAGGGAGGTTAGAAGGATTAGAATTGAACCTAGCCAACGGAAAGGCCCTTCTTTCTTGCGGATTAAACAAAAATTGTAAGTAATTAGGATTAAATTCCTGCGCCCAAGAGAGTCAAAATTCACTCTCTCCCTTGCTTTTCTTGTTCGCAGTATTTGTTCTCTTCGTCTTGAGTGGGCTGGGAATCACAGCCGGAGCACATCGCCTTTGGAGCCACCGTTCCTACAAAGCCAGCCTGCCTCTCCGAATATTCTTGGCGATCATCAACACCATGGCTTTCCAGGTAAGAATTATGAGATGATTAACATGGCCAGATTCCAGGGTCATGGATACATGAGGGGAGGGAAGACAAGACTACATGCTTCCTGCAGTTTGGCTAACTTGGAATTTCATACAAAAAATTTGGTATCTCATCCCCCTCCCTTTCCCCCAGTAACTTTCATTTCCCTTTTTCTGTACAGCGGTACTTTGGTTCTCAAACTTAATCTGTTTTGGAAGTCCGTTCCAAAACCAAAGTGTTCTAAAACCAAGGCAAGCTTTCCCATAGAAAGTAATGCAAAACAGATTAATCCGTTCCAGACTTTTAAAAACAACCCCTAAAACAGCAATTTAACAAGAATTTTACTGTCTAACGAGACCATTGACCCATAAAATGAAAACAATCATCAACGTACTGTACTTTTAAATAAGACAGTATTGTAGATGATAATTTTTTTAAAAAAAAAATCTTACCTGCACTGATGATGGTCGTTGATTGGATGGGGGGCTTTTATCCATCTCCGCAGTCACACAATCAATCAATCAGTAGCTGAACTGGGTTCCACACAGTCACAAAAACAAATTAACCGAAAAAGCCTCAAAAAGAGGAACGCAAAATAAGGAGCAAAAACAAAAGCGCCAAACTTAATCTGTTTCGGAAGTCCGTTTGACTTCCGAAATGTTCAAAAACCAAGGCGCAGCTTCTGATTGGTGCATGCGCCCCGGAAACAAGAGCCGACAGCTGCATCAGTTTGGCTTCCAAAAAATGTTCGAAAACCGGAACACTTCCTTTCGGGTTTTCGGTGTCTGGGAACCAAGGCGTTTGAGAACCAAGGTACCACTGCATTTGAAATTTTTTAACTCAAAGGGTAAAAGCCACCCCCAATGACAAAAAGATCAGATGAGAGCTCAATAATCTGTCAAAACAAAGGGTTTAGATTAAAACAAATAACTAGGATTGCATGGACTAACTAGGATTAACCAGCGAGGTTAATCTGATCTTCCTGCTGGTGCTTTTGCACAGCGCTGGTGTCGATTCCGCCTGTCTCTTCCCTGTCTCAGTAAGCAGCAGCAGCTGACCTGCCAGGAGTTCAGGGAACGATCTCCACCCTGCCATGGAATCTGCTCCCATTTACTACTCTAATTGGGCACTCCCATCTAGATTTTAACACACTGCCTTAATCCAGCAAAGCACGGAGAGCTAGACTGAGAAATTCATTTCAGCACTAATCCTTCTTCACTTCTAACTGGGTGGATTTGCCTGATGAAGCTTCAAAAAGTCACTTGGCGCAAGTTTGCACGCGACAGAGTGCAACTAGAGAGTTGTGTATGTGTGTTGTTGTTTGGTACAATTTAAAACATTCAGGCAGGATCTTCAAAGGTTCCCATTTAAAGGTGGCAAACTTCTGGGTCCTATATATATCCTTGCATTGCTTCATGCTCTCTCCTACAGGAATCATTTAGCTCACTGGTCTTCAACTGGTTAGCTGGGGATCCATTAGGGAGTCGTGGCCTGATCCAGGTTGAGTTGCAACAGGAACACTACCACCATGCAAATAGATGGTAAAAGATTAAGATATAGGTCCCCAGTGGGTCCTGGATCTGAAAAAGCTGAAGATAGCTCATTTAGCCAATTTGTTCCCCACCCCCAATTTTAAAACCGTAACATCATAAAAATTCATCGGCGGGTATTGCCATCTCTTAACGAAAGGACTGTATTTCTCCGTGTATAAGACTATATTGCATAGGGGGGGATTGGCGCTTGATTCATGTCATGAGTGGGAGATTGTCTGTGGCGATTGGGTGGGTGATTTCCGGCAACCCCCCCTAAAAAAAGCTCAACAACTGTGAGAAATCCTCCCCCAGAAAAGCTTAACAACTCTTCTTAATTTGGATTCCCCCAAAATAGGGGTTGTCTTATACATAGAGGCGTATTATACATGGAAAAATACGGTAATACATAGTTTTATTGAAACATCTAAAAGAATTCCCCCTCTCCTTTAAAAAACAATTGAACTTGTCCTTGAGGGCAAGTGTGACATTATTATTATTATTATTATTATTATTATTATTAAAGTAAGGGTAAAAGGTAAAGGACCCCTGGATGGTTAAGTCCAGTCGAATTAGACTATGGGGTACTGCGCTTATCTTCGCTTTCAGGCCAAAGGAGCCGACGTTTCTCCACAGACAGATTTCTGGGTCATGTGGCCAGCATGACTAAACCGCTTCTGGCACAACGGGACACTGTGACAAGTGCCAGAGGGCATGGAAATGCTGTTTATTTCCTGCCACAGCGGTACATACGGTACTTGCGCTAGAAGGCTTTTGAACTGCTAGAGTTGGCAGGAGTTGGGACAGAGCAACGGGAGCTGACCTCATTGTGCGGATTCAAACTGCCGGCCTTACGATCAGCAAGCCCAAGAAGCTTGATGGTTTAGACCACAGCGCCACCCGCGTCCTAATATATTATAATATTATTATTAACATGTCACCCATCTGGCTGGGTTTCCCCAGCCACTCTGGGCAGCTCCCAACAAAATATGGAAAACACAATAAAACATCAAACGTTAAGATCTTCCCTATACAGGGCTGTCTTCAGATGTCTTCTAAAAGATCATGTCGTGTTGGACATGTACGGATAGGATTCAGGTCCGAAACTTGGTTAATCTAGGCCACATCTAGATCCATGCCAGCCTCAATGTCACCTGCTGTAAAATGGGAATAATAGTTGCTTGTCTTAGAGCATCGGTCAGTAACCTAAGGCCCACAGGTCACAAGCAGCCCACGGGGGTCGTTTTACCAGCCCACAAGCTGCAACGGAGCTGCCTGCTTGGCAAGTCCCCGTGCGCTGTGCTAAACCGGTGCAGTGCGGCGACTCGCTTTTGCATGGCCGGAAATCGCGTCTGCGCAGACGCCGAAAATCACAGGTGCATGCACACACCTGCACCCGTGATCCGGCCCACAGAGGGGGCTCCGCGGCAGTGAACCGGCCCAGGCAAGGTAAGCCTTGCCGACCCCTGTCTTAGGAGGAGGAGGAGGAGTTTGGATTTGATATCCCGCTTTATCACTACCTGAAGGAGTCTCAAAGCAGCTAACATTCTCCTTTCCCTTCCTCCCCCACAACAAACACTCTGTGAGGTGAGTGGGGCTGAGAGACTTCAGAGAAGTGTGACTAGCCCAAGGTCACCCAGCAGCTGCATGTGGAGGAGCGGGGAAGCGAACCCAGTTCACCAGATTACGAGTCTATCGCTCTTAACCATTACACCACACTGGCTTCTTAGAGCATTGCATTCAGGGTGAATGAGTCAAGGAAGTATTTTTTATCTTCCATGTTCCTTAAAGGATTGCTGTGGAAGCGGAGGACTGTTGTCCAGCTCGAAACATGACTAATGCGTTTGCCTTTGTGTTTCAACCAGAACGACATTTATGAGTGGGCCAGAGATCACCGTGTCCACCACAAATACTCTGAAACGGATGCTGATCCCCACAACGCAAAGCGAGGCTTTTTCTTTTCTCATATCGGCTGGCTGCTGGTACGCAAACACCCTGATGTCAAAGAGAAGGGAAAGAAGCTGGATCTCTCTGACCTGAAGGCTGACAAAGTTGTGATGTTCCAAAGGAGGTGAGCAAAGGGCTCCCATTGAGGTTGCTTTCTTTTTCCAGAAGATAGGAAATGGATTTGTTTGTTTGTTTGTTTACTTCTACTACTACTACTACTAATTTATTATTTATACCCCACCCATCTGGCTGAGTTTCCCCAGCCACTCTGGGCGGCTCCCAATCAAGTGTTAAAAACAGTACAGCGTTAAATATTACAAACTTCCCTGAACAGGGCTGCCTTCAGATGTCTTTTAAAGACAGGATAGCTGCTTATTTCCTTCACATCTGAAGGGAGGGTGTTCCACAGGGTGGGCACCACTACCGAGAAGGCCCTCTGTCTGGTTCCCTGTAACCTCACTTCTCGCAATGAGGGAACCACCAGAAGGCCCTCGGCGCTGGATCTCAGTGTCCGGGCTGAATGATGGGGGTGGAGACGCTCCTTCAGGTATACAGGACCGAGGCCGTTTAGGGCTTTAAAGGTCAGCACCAACACTTTGAATTGTGCTCGGAAACATACTGGGAGCCAATGCAGATCTCTCAGGACTGGTGTTATGTGGTCTCGGCGGCCACTCCCAGTCACCAGTCTAGCTGCCGCATTCTGGATTAATTGCAGTTTCCGGGTTACCTTCAAGGTAGCCCCACGTAGATACACTGAAAATCAGATAAGCATTCATAATGGAAGTACTGTAGATTCCAAGTTTCCAACCTTTACAGTACAGTGGTACCTTGGTACTTGAACGGCTTGGCTTCCGAACCAATCAGCTCCTGAATGCCGCAAACCCGGAAGTGAGTGGTTTGCGAAAGTTTTTCGGAAGCCGAATGTCTGATGCGACTTATGATTGGGTGCAGCCCATCGGAAGCCGCGCCTTGGTTTTTGAACCGTTTCGTGAGTCAAATGGACTCCCGGAACAGATTAAGTTTGAGAACCAAAGTACCACTGTAGTTTGAGCCATTGACACCTTTGGGGTTCGAGCTAAAAATCTAATCGTGAATTGGAAATATTTACTGCAGAGTGAAATCTTGCAGGAAAATGCAAGGGCCTACTCAAAATGGAGCTTCTTCAAACGCTGGAATTCTAATGTGATCCCCTACAAAGAGCTCAAAATATGTTGACTTCAATGCATGTCTCTTTCTTCTCAGGCATTATAAAACCTCTGTGGTGATCATGTGCTTCATTTTCCCTACTGTTGTGCCTTGCTACTTCTGGGGGGAGACGTATCACACTAGCTTCTTCATGGCTGCCATCCTCCGCTATGCCTTAATCCTCAACGCCACTTGGCTGGTGAACAGTGCGGCACACATGTATGGCAACCGGCCGTATGATAAGAACATCAACCCCAGAGAGAACCACTTTGTCGTACTTGGAGCCCTAGGTATGTAAAGGGGAAGATGTTGGGGTTTGGGGGAGGGGAGGATCTGTTGTTGTCTTGCTCCCACCACAGTTCCTGGTGCTCTCAGTTGGTGTGTATTTTGGTTAAGGTAAAGGTAAAGGGACCACTGACCATTAGGTACAGTCGTGACCGACTCTGGGGTTGCGGCGCTCATCTCGCTTTACTGGCCGAGGGAGCCGGTGTACAGCTTCCGGGTCATGTGGCCAGCATGACTAAGCTGCTTCTGGCGAACCAGAGCAGTGCACGGAAACGCCGTTTACCTTCCCGCCGGAGCGGTACCTATTTATCTACTTGCACTGGTGTGCTTTCAAACTGCTAGGTTGGCAGGAGCAGGGACCGAGCAATGGGAGCTCACCCCGTCGCGGAGATTCGAACCGCCGACCTTCTGATCGGCAAGTCCTAGGCTCTGTGGTTTAACCCACAGCGCCACCCGCCTTCTTTCTGACCCATGTTCAGATCTGCAGGAAGTTTTGCCTGCTTTCCATCCCTGGTTTTTCAGCTGTGCCCACATCCTGTTTCACTTTCCTCGTTCATGAGAAGTCATCCTGTTGCCACTTACTTTCACACAGGTAGCGATAGCTTCTGGGGAGAGCATCCAGGCTTCTCTACCATCTTTTCAAAGAGGACATCTCTAGAGAGGTTCTCATGGGGAAATTATATTTCTCAAGGGCTGCGTAAGACCTTCATTCCAGCATGCTACCAGGATATCAAACAATGGAGAGGGGAGGGAGGAAAATATCTCCCTCCTTGCCTTTGCCAGTGGATGGACTGGAGCACTGCTTCTAACTTCAGAAAGTTGAGGGTGAAATGAAGTCTGGTAGGCTTGAAAATAAGCAGAGTTCTTTGCTGTGTGTGTGCACATTTAATTTTCTGAGCCACTTTGATACAAGCCCAGGAGAAGCTGTCCATCTTCAGCCATCTTCTAAGATTTTTTGCTGAATGTATATGCCCATATCACAAATACCAACTCCTTGCCCATTTGTCGGTTCCAATCTAGGAGAGAGTTTTTTCTCTCCCCACTCCACTGTCCTGGGTGTCCTGTTGCAGCCATCTCCTCCCCTGAACATCCTTCTCCCCTTTATCTGAACACCTTAGTTATCCTGACAGTGGTGAGAAGGCATGTTGGAAGTCAGGCACAGAAGCAAAGAATTCTTCCTGGCTCAGATTTTAATCCCAAGACGGAGAAGAATTTCAGCGCCCCTAAAACTCGCTTCTCCTTTGAGATGGGATTCTGTGAACCTCAGTTTAATTTCTGATCCCAGCCTCTCCTCTGCCTTTTTACTGAGGCAAGACCTGTTACACATTGACTTTGAAGCCTAAGTGAAAAGCAGTGCCCGGTCATCCAGATTCAGCTTTTGTACAGCTTTTGTTACAGACCATAATAGATACTGTTATTAGTATTTAAGCATGGCAGAACACCATTTTAATAATACAGTGCCAACAAGAACTTTATAGAGGTAGGCTAGAGGCACACACACACACACACACACACACACACACACCCAAATTGTGAACAGGGGAAAAAATGTATATAAAATTGTACTGACCATTTTTATCTGCCACAAAAAATGTTTGTTTGTCATCCTGTTTTGCATGCTGCTTTATTTAGCTGGGAGGCATTGTTCTGAAAGCAAATATTGCAGTTTTGGGTAAGTGTTGTGGAGAAAGGGTAACAGTTCTTGAGGCCACAGAGTTGGAATGTATTTCTGCTCCTGCACACTGGATTATTTCGTTAGTACGGGAGCAGAAAAGGGATTTTAGGAATCTGAAACGTGGATCAGACAGTAGATCCACAGCAGATTTCTGTGGATTTAGACATCATGAACAGGAATTCTGCCTTATGCCAGAATTTGATCTGAACATCCAATTCTTGCAAGTTTAGAAGGCCCCTGAAATAAATTAATATTGCTTACAGCAAGTTCCTAGACTTGGAATGGCATTATTCCTATCTGGTGTGAGAGTCACGAAAAGCGTTTGAATTAACGCTCCAGTCTTATGCACTGATCCAATATTTTGTGCTGCAGAAGTTTCATAGGAGGTGTTAATCCCTGAACATTCAGGAGCTCAATGGTCAATTGTTCCCAGTGGTACAACATACTGTAGGTAGATCACCCTATACTTATCTGCTTGTTCACTCCTTGGAAATAGCCTTAACGCATCGCCACAGTGAGATGGGCCAAACAACCTGTCATTTCTCTGCCTTACATTTCTAAGGAAGGAAACTGCAGAACACTTTGCTGCAGTACGGTGGGTTGATTTGGGCCCATTGCACACCTTCCAACATTTCTCTGGTGAAAATAGGGATGTCCTAAGGAAAAGCGGGACATTCCAGGATCAAATCAGAGACCAGGATGGCTCCTGTAAATCTGGGACTGTCCCTGGAAAATAGGGACACTTCGAGGGTCTGCCATTGGTGTGGTACACTGGGGACCAGTTACTCTGAAGAGGACATTCTCCTTCATTCAGTCTCCATCAGCATCTATAGAGAGTTTTATTGGTGCCATTTCCCACTTGACATAGATTGATCTCTCTGAAGATGTCTGTGGTAATTATCTCCTTGCCACATATGAATTGTACCTTTGCACATTCGATGGCAGCTTATTATTGCAGTTCCAGTGATTATGCAACAAGCCCCACAGATTATTATCCTTAATCCCTTTGCCTCCCCTGTGTTGATTTTAAGTTGCAATTATTCTCAGGCCACCTAGCCTACCTTTGTCGTTTGCTGTTCCACGTACACTGACGACATTCCCCTCCCACTGGTTTCTCCCTTCTTGTGTGCGATGGCTATCCCATAATTCCTCATAAGGGTGACGTGACCCAACCTTTCCTTCTGATCCTTTCGGTGCCAGAGAGCAGAAGTTACTTCATTAGTTGCTTATAATGGGGCCTCTGGGGATTTTTTCCCGCCGGAACTCTCCGGAACTCTCAGGTGGGCGCCATTGGCCATTATAAAAGAACAAGGGAGCTCTGGCACCTCTTTTTTTCTTGAAAAAAAATTGCATGGGGTGCCTCCAATTCTGGGTCCTTTTTGAGGATCATTCACCAAGAAGCTAATCTAGGCTTAATATCAAAATAGTGTGGCAGTGGCAGTGGAAATGGTAGTCCAAATGGTAGCTCCAGCAGTAAGTTAGCAGTTATAGGCTTCCTGCAGCAAACGTTTATTGAATACATACTCACACTCAGTCATAAAGGACATTGTTTTTACTCATCAAGCAAACTAAAGAAACTTAAAATTTACTCACTATAGAGTCGATTGCTTTCCAGAACCTAGTTCCCAAATAAATACACTACTTGGGCGCTTATGATTTCTCCTCCTCTCTCTCTCTCCCCAGGTGAAGGTTTCCACAACTACCACCATACTTTCCCCTATGATTACTCAACCAGTGAATTTGGCTTGAACTGGAACATCACAACAGCTTTCATTGATCTTATGTGTTACCTGGGCTTGGCCACGGACTGCAAGCGAGTGTCAAAGGAGACCATCATGGCCCGGAAAATTCGGACTGGTGATGGTAGCCACAAGACTGGCTGAAGGTCTGCTCTCCTCCGTCTCCTTTCCTCCCTTCCTTCTCTTTCAAATAACCTGGGCATATGTTTAATGTTCTGCTTACTAATTACAAAGCAATGCTTTCAGGATTCTCAAGGTGATGACTCTAACCCATTCCAGTACTATGTTTTGAAATGATGTATTCAAGACCTGTAACTTTTACAGGGGACACCTCTCTCTCTCTCTCTCTCTCTCTCTCTCTCTCTCTCTTTCTCCTTCTGTTTCTCCTGTGTTCTCTCGCTTGCTTTCATTAGAAGCTGGTAGAACACCCAACAAACTTCCCTGCAACTGATTGGAGGGACTGAGCCAACAGAGTTTCACCAATGTAGGGACTCCGTTTGCAATTATGCTTGTTTGGGTCACCTCTCTCTCTTCCTGGTTCTTGAGGCTGGTTCTTTGATGAGTGGAGGGAGATTTGTCCTATGTCTTGTTGTTGTAGAGAAACTTGAGTCTGACCCCTTGGGCCAGGGGTTCTGAAATCTGGAGAAAGTAGAAAGAGTAGGTTTGCTATTGCAGAGGTTAGAGGGCAGGGATGGAAAGCGAAAGGAGAATGCGTTTTGTAAGGGTTGCAAAGAAGCCTGCTGGTTAGTCCCAGAATTAGGGGTTGGTTTTCTTAACTGGAGCCGAGTGATTCTTCTACCTCTGCCCATGTTCTAGTGTCATGAAACTGCTCTTTTCCTGCACCCGGGCACTAGTTTAGAAACCAAGCGGCCTGTGCAGGATTATGAGATGCTTATGTAGGAAAGCTACACAAAGGAGCTGGTTGCTGGATGGCTCTGGAACAGATTTGGCTGCGAACGGGTTCCGAGTGGGGAAATGGGCATGTTTTGAGGGTGGAAACGAGTGCACCAAAGCAACACTTCCCGACAGGAAAGAGGAAATTGGAGGTACTGGAGGGGTTTGAACCAAAGGTGTGTCACAGACCCAAGTTGGTTTTTGTGTGTGTGTGTGTGCTGGAAGAGTATATTTCAATTTGGACGCAGGACAGTGTGTTTGTTGGTGTAGGTAAAAACAGATTGTTTTCATTCTGCAAAATATGGCAGCTGATGTCCACACACTGATCCCTGGAAGGATCAACTAAGGGCTGAAATCAAAGGGCCAAGAAGGAAGTATATTCCCTGTTCAGGGAGCTTTATACTGTTCTTGAAACACCAGGGCAGCAATAGGTGTCAAAATTTTGCACGCCCTAACAATTTTGCAACTGCCCCGTGGCCCACCCACCCCTGCTATGCCACTGCTTTCTACACAGGTTCTTTGCAGGAGAGCTTGTGAAAGGAGAGAGAGAGAGAGAGGCCACTTTTGCAATCCATAGGAAAGCTGCTTTTAAACGAGGGAGGTGTTTGCATATCCATTATACACAGATTTCTAACAGGGTGGCAAAGACTACAGCATTCACACACTTGATTTGATTATCTGCTACTGGTGAGAGGAGGGGGCATTTGCAGTGATGAGTGTCACATGGCCAAGAAGAGCACATCTTCTGTACCCATTCTGCACTAAGGAGAGGATATTTGGGCAGACGCTGTTGGTTTAATTTTTGAATTTATGTAGGGTTCACATATGTCTGGAATTCCAATGACAGAATTAGTGTTTGGGGGGAATTTTGTGAAAATGACAAAATGTCCAGATTTTTGAAACTTGCCCCCCAGCAGCTCAACAACTTTCCCCAAAAAGCGACCCTAATTTATGTGTTGCATTAGTTTCCCTCTTTAGCGCACCTCTTTCTGCCATGCCAAGAAGTTTCACTGCAGTGAAATTTCCCTTCCTATCATCTAGCCACCTTAATGGGGATGTATTGTGTTTCGAGTAACGTGAAACGTTAGATCAGATGCAACCTATTGATAATTCATATAAAATATCAGCAGAAAAGGTAAGAGAGAAGCTGGTTCTGACTCCACGGAGAGTTGTAGTGCAAGTTGTTTCCAATTCTCCACTCCAGGAAGGAAACAACGACCCACTGCCTAGCTAGCAAGCTCTGCTTACTCAGATTGGATGTGTATAGGATCTTGACTAATCCCCTGCCATGCCAGAGTTTGCAGCAGCTGTCCTCTGAATTGTTCTGCACTGCCCAGCTGTCAGCTGATTTACATTTGAATTACTCATCAGTTAGCACCGAGGCTCAGCAAAAAGATAAATCCAGCTCAACAGAAAAGCGCATTGCAAACAGTACAGCTAAAGCAAGCCCTGATCTAGGGAGAGGACGTTCTTTTCTCTGCTGTATTGCAAAATCCGGTTCCTGAGATTAAAGCTGCAATCGTACACCTGCTGACTTGGGCATAAGCGTGGCTGAACTCTTGTTTAGAATCATAGCATCATAGAGTTTGAAGGGACGCGCCAAGGATCATTTAGTCTGACTGCCTGCAATGCAGGAATCTCAGCTAAAGCATCCCTGTTCCAGTTAGGATTTCACAGTGAAGGCCCCAAAACCAACCCCTTTCTGTTCCACCGTAGCACCAGGGCACATGCCTGTCTCCTTCCCCATGACCCAAATGTTCAAATTCCCATCAATATGACAGCTTCTTGGCCACCCTGCTCCTTGTCGTTCACCAGGAAACGCTTCCAGTTTCTGAGCTTCCCAGGAACATCTGGCTGACCTCTGTTGTCTGTCTGATTCATCAGTCCTCTTCTTATGAATAACCTTTTATTAGGAAGTGGCAGTTCCTGCCAAAGCAGCTTGACACCAGGGGTGATTTCTTATTTTTTATATTTTTGGCCTCAAGAGAAATTATGAGCGTAGCAACCCATAGTTATCTAAAGACCAGTTTTGCCACCTGAGGCACTTCATCATTTTTAAAGAGAGCAATACAAGGAAGTGTTGAAAAGCCCTTGTGGACTTTTTCTGCCTTCGCTTCACCAGTTTGGTATGTGGAGAGGCTATGACTTCAAGCAGGTTTTACTTCAATTTCCCCTCTGCCTCCCTTGGCTTAAAGAGTGTCTTTGGGGAAGTCACGTGAGATGCAAAAGGAGCTGAGGGAGTTTTGTAGAGAACCGCCTAGGGTCTGTCTCTTCACACGTGGAATTTTGGGTGTATTCCTGACATTAAGTCCACACCAGTCCACGCATTTTGCACCTGACTATCGACCACTTGAGACCAAGCGAAGATGCCTGGGTGTCAAGATGGTGCCTGACATCTCCACCATCTGGAGGTGTGTGCCTGAGGATCATTGGAGCTAGACCAGTGGCTCTCAACCTGTGGGTCCCCGGATATTGTTGGACTACAACTCCCATCATCCCTGAGCTCTGGCCTTGTTAGCTAGGGGTGATGGGAATTGTAGTTCAACGACATCTGGGGACCCACAGGTTGAGAAAGGCTGATCTAGACTGTTTTCACACACTAATACCCCACCCTGTAGAATTCTGCCACTTACATTTTACTGGCACAATTGGAACTAATTTCAGGAACCAAAACGCTTTCTCTGTGTGGCCTGAGCAGGAGCAGTGAACAATGTTATCGTTAATTGTCGCTTGTCTCCCCACTGCCCTGCTCAAAAGTTGTGAAGAATATTCTTACGTTATGAATGGTCCATGTCACCATTGAGAAAGAGAGGTAGGAACAGGCCGATAGATTTGTGGAAGAACCCTCGATCAAGTGACTTTTCTTCCTTAAGTTCTCAAAGTTCTTAACCTGGCTCAAGGTTGTCATCTAAACTAGCCAGATGTTTAACTGAGAATCAATCACAGTCCTTATTTGAAAAATAAGACTTTAGAGCAGTCTTGCCCCCAAATGGCAACTAGACACTCCATTTTACCAACCTTGGTTTAAGGGGAGCCATTTGGCCCTAGCTTATATATCTGAGTTTCTAATGCTGGTAGACACCTAAAACTGCAGAACCTGATTCTTTGTACAGGTACACTTGCCAGGTGACTAGAAATACACTTAGTGGCAACTTGAGGTTCCTGTTGAGTGCTGGGCTAAGCAGCCATCACTCTCGTGAGAATAGTTCAGGAGAAGTTCACAGACTGGGGTTTCCCCTTTCATCGCCGCTAATTTTCACTGAATCTGACATAGGATGTTTGGAATATAGCAGTATTGGTTCGGACGCCGTTTCACATTCCTGAATGCATTTGTTTGGCCATCGCAACGAGCTTGGCTATGACCAACAGCAGCCATCCCAAGTCGTTGGGTGGCCTCAGTCATAGTGCTAGGTCAGTGCGATTTCTGAAGGCTTATCCTTGCTCCAACTTGTACCTGGAAGACACTGGGGCCAGTAATAAATAAAGAACTAAGTTATCCTCCTAGCAGGGTCACCTGCACAGCACAGCCTCCCTAAGTGATGCTCCCCTTGTGGCCATCAGAACTGTGTGCTCACAAAAGGAAACAAGCGCTATTGACTCAGGTGTTGAGATTGCAAACTTGATACGGGTCTAGCGAATCCAAAACGTTTGGATGTGGGATGAAAACGTAAGCAACCAAACAGTTCCCATTTGGGTCCAGACACTTTGCGGGGGCGGGGGGTAAACGGACAAGTATTTTGATGTGCCTTAAGCTTTTCTTGAACATACATAGGAAGTATCAAGAGCTCTTCGCAGTATTTTAATTTTCACCTGTGCTAAATTATTTTTATGTTAATTATTCATCTGCGCTGAATTGTGGGTACAGATGCGTTTTTGTTTTTTTAATGTACTTGGTTAATCTTCTGTTAAGTTAAGGAATAGTTAGATCACTTAAAAATAAAGCCTTTTTTTTTTTGCTTCTCCTTTTTTTTTTATGTGGTGCACATTTTATCTAGGATGCATTCTCTAGAAGGTGACCTCTCTGGTTAGCCTCTCTCTCTCTCTCTCTCTCTCTCTCTCTCTCTCTCTCTCTCTCCCTCCCTCCCTCCTTTGTGATATGGGCTGGAATTATGTGGGTGTTGATTGGAGTACGCAATCTAGCAGTCAGAGCAGCAGCCTAGTCATTGGGAAACCTGGGCTCTGTTCTTAACTGCAACTTAAACTACAATCCTATACTTAGGTCCTTGGAGGCGGCCCTATTGAATTCAGTGGGATTTTGTATAGGATTTTGTATAGGATTGTACTGTTAGATTCTTTGTGAGTGCAATGGGCAAGTTTTTCCTCTTCTCTTCTGCCTGCATTTGCTGGTGTGCAAAAGGGCAAAAGCCCCCGTTTTAAAAGGGGAGTACTAATGTGGTTTAACTCGATGTTCTGAGGTATAAGTCACTATTGACTATTTGGCACTAAACTGGCTTTCATCTCAGTGCTTCAGCTTAACTGGCTCGAGGTCAAACGGACCTCAATATCCAAGTAGCAGTTACACAAGCAAACCTTCAGATTGCAGCGAGCGAAAGAGTTTGAAACTGGAAAACCAAATGCCGGAACAGTGGAGACTGTGAAGGTTAATGTGAATTGTCGACGCTCCTATGCTCCTGATGTGTGTATGCATAGGACCTTTGTTTGCTTTTCCATTTAATATTTCCATATTTTATGTACTGAATAATAATAATAATAATTTTCTTCTAATATGAAATTGAATGTCTGATTTATGCTGATCTGAAGGTGTGTTTTTGTTTGTTTGTTTATAATAAAATGGTTGGTTTTTGAATTTGACTTTCTGTTGCAATCTCTTGGTGACATTGCTAGACATTCAGAATTACAGGGCCCTGAGCTGTCCTGAACATGCGTCCAGACAGAGGAAGCAATGAATTCCCATCTTGCTGGTGTGGCTTCCTCTTTCAAACTTCATGGCACCATTTCCTTTGAAAGAGAGAACCCTGGAGTGTTACAGGGTCTTTGTTCTTGAGATGCTTCCTCCCTTTATTCCTTTTAATATAGTTGCAGGCTGAGAAGGGCTGCAAAAGCAGTCAAGGCGGCCTCTAAATCCCATACTCTCAGATCTCCCAGGTTCATAGTTGTCAACTTACAGATTTGAAAATAAGGGACCAGCAGCCTTGAAAATCAGCAGCCAAAATAGGGGATTTTAGTCAACCAGCTGAAATACAAAGTTAAAAGGGACCAGATAATTTGGGAGAGCAGCGCCGGTTTTTAGCCCTTCGTTTCCAGAGGTTGCTGCTCAAGACACCAGCTGATGAAACACTGCAATTAAATAACTACAAGCAGCAACCACTTTTCGCGCAAAAGGAAGCCCAAGCTACGAAGATGCTGCTGCAGTTCTGTATCTTTTCTCTCGTGCTCCATCTGCAGCTCTCAGTTCCATCAGGTGGGGCGGGAGGAAGGGGGGGGAGAAATAGCGCCCAAAGTAAACCCTATGCTAGTCTGCCACTACAAATCTATGGGAGAAGCACTTGCGGTCCTTCCTCCGCTTTCCCCCTCTATGGTTAGCCCTTGGAACACCTGCCCGTGCCTCCGCATCCTCCTCCTCTCTCTGAACTGCTTTCTCTATGGTTGCCCTTGCTCTCCTCTCAAGGCTCCTCAGCAATTCATAGGCCGCGCAGGCTGCCCATCTCATCCAGGTCCTTCGGTGATGCAGCCGCAGTACAGCCTAGCGGGGGCGGCAGCAGCGGGCAGAGGGGAGGCCCCAGGCAGAGATGCTCAGTTCGGCGGCCACGAGGAAGATGGCGGCGGAAGGGCCTGAGGCTCCCGCCGGTCCCGGCGGGGAGGGGTTCCTGGGGGCCGAGGCTGGTGAGAGGAGGCCGGAGGGGGGCGGGCTGGGCAGCCAAGCAACACAGTTGGAGCCTCCCTCCTCCCTGGCCGGCAGGGAGAGGAGCTTCTTCCTTTGAAACCCGGGAAATTTAAGGGACATCATCAATAAGGGACAGCAGCGGGACACAGCGCTGGGATAAGGGAGTTTCTCGCCAAATAAGGGACAGTTGACAGCTATGCCCAGGTTGTTCTTGCCCAAGCACCCTCCCTTCCCACCCACCCTTCCCACAAATAACATCCTGATTCAAATTCCCCAGAGCTAAGCTTCTGTTACAGTGCCTGTCTTTTCTGTGGTTGCCTATTCAACCAGGAAGGAAGTTCCTTCTATCTTCTTATTGGACCTGTCGATTTAGCCACTGCTTGGATTGCCTGCAGCTTCAAGAATCAGGTGATGTGCTGTCGGCAACATTGCCTAGAAAAAAAAAGAGAATGGACGAGCCACTTCGAACGCCTTTATTTCACAATAATGTACAGCCTTGTACTCAAGCAGCCAGACATAGTTGCAGGTTGGGGTTTACTTCAGTTTAAAGTTGGCCCAGGCCCCATGCCAAGGGTGTGGTGCCAATCTCAGTTCATGCAGCCAAACACGTAACATCATCAGCTCAGGGCTTTCCGACCGGCCAAGTCTGAGTCAGTGTGTCACTTCGCTTCACTTCGGTTCAGTCACCTAACAACGCAGAGGAAATTTCCTTCTGCACCACTGCAGCTTGGGAGGGTAACCCGGTCACATAACCCAGCAAAGCAGAACTGCAGAAAAGTAGGAATGTCTTCCTTCCTACGTCCTTTGCACCACCTCTCTTGCGTAAGATTGTCGATGCTGATAGCTCCTATGGGAGCTGTTCAGATGCATGTCCAACTTCAGAGGTTCCTAAACTTATTTGGCCTACTGCCCCCCTTTCAGGGGGAAAAACAACAACTCACTCCGCACCCCCCCCACCCCAGAAATCTACTTTCTGTAAAAATCAGAAAGATGCCGTGACAAATTTGCATTCTTTTATGTACAGTGGTACCTCGGGTTACATACGCTTCAGGTTACAGACTCCACTAACCCAGAAATATTAGCTCGGGTTAAGAACTTTGCTTCAGGATAAGAACAGAAATTGTGCAGTGGCGGCACAGCAGCAGCAGGAGGCCCCATTAGCTAAAGTGGTGCTTCAGGTTAAGAACAGTTTCAGGTTAAGTACGGACCTCCGGAACAAATTAAGTACTTTACCCGAGGTACCACTGTACATAAAAGAATGCAAATTTGTCACGGCAAGGTACAGTGGTGCCTTGGTTCTCAAACTTAATCCATTCCGGAAGTCCGTTCCAAAACCAAAACATTCCAAAATCAAGATGCGGTTTCCCATAGAAAGTAATGCAAAATGGATTAATCCGTTCCAGACTTTTAAAGACAACCCCTAAAACAGCAATTTAACATGGATTTTACTATCTAGCGCGACCATTGATTCATAAAATGAAAGCAATAAACAATGTACCGCAGTCACACAATCAATCAATCAGTAGCTGAACTGGGTTCCACACAGTCACACACACAAAAAAAGAGAGCTGCAAAAATGAAAACACATAATAAATAGCAAAAACAGACAGATCTCAGCGTAACACTCAAAATGGAAGTGTAACACTCAAAACGGAAGTGTGGCACTCAAAACGGAGCACATTCAGCTTCTGAAAAAAGTTTGCAAACGGGAAAACTTACTTCTGGGTTTGCAGTGTTTGGGTTCCAAGTTGTTTGAGTTCTAAGGCGTTTGAGAACCAAGGTACCACTGTATCTATCTTTCTACCTACATCCTACAATATAGTAAAGAAATAGGAAAAGGTAAAGGACCCCTGACAGTTAAGTCCAGTCACGAACGACTCTGGGGTTGCGGCACTCATCTTGCTTTACTGGCCGAGGGAGCCAACGTTTGACCGCAGACAGTTTTTCCGGGTCATGGGGCCAGCAGGACTAAGCCGCTTCTGGCGAAACCAGAGCAGTGTACGGAAACGCTGTTTAGCTTCCTGCTGGAGTGGTACCTATTTATCTACTTGCACTTTGACGTGCTTTTGAACTGCCAGGTTGGCAGGAGCTGGGACCGAACAATAGGAGCTCACCCCGTTGCAGGGATTCGAACCACTGACCTTCCGATCGGCAAGCCCTAGGCTCTGTGGTTTAGACCACAGCGCCACCCGCGTCCCCAACAGAAATACGTTGCTGTAAATAAGCAGGCAAACTGCAACCCACTTCCTGGGCCTGGGTGAAGTTGAGAAAGGTTCATCCAAGTCTGGGAAAAACCCTTGCCTGCAGCACAATTGCTGGATCCAGGAAGGCGTTGTTGCCATCCTGCAACAGCGCATGACCTGGCGGTAAGTGGCATTACACAACAGATGGAACACGTAGGAACCGTTTTTCAAAATTTTCTTCTTTATGTTTCCACTGCCCCCTTATTTTTGTTCTACACTCCCTAATTGCACCCAAGGCTACTGCTGCCCCCCTTGCATCATTCCAGCGCTTCCCAGGGCTTAAATAAGGGGTGCAGAATCAATGGCTCCCAATTCCCACCTTCCCAGATTACTGGCCATTCTGGCTGGAGCTGTTGGATATTGAAATTGGAGGGTGTTGGGGTTAGTCACCTGTGGTTTAAATTATAGGCTGGGAGGGAACCAGTGGCTCAATGGGCCTATTGTGCAAGCCCCTAGGAATCCTGTACCTGTTAATAGTTGTGTAGCCAAGGGAATTTCAGCACAGAGGAGTGACAAAAGCTGCCTATGCAAAAACGCCCACTACTGCCCAGCTACTAAAAAGATGTACAAGGGTCTCTAAACTAACAGAAAAACTACATGTAAAGGACAACAAAGACTTTAAAAGAGAATGGGAACCATTTACAACATATATGAAGAGGCAACATCAAGAAATGGACTCATTGGCAGGGTTTGCGTAAACAATCACAACTGTATACAACAACAAAAATAAGACTATATGTATTGGGAAATTTGGGGGGGAACAATACGCAGGGTGAACAATATGGAAATAAAACAAAACGGGAGTATGAGGGAAGTCCAGGGGAGGAAGGTGGAAATATGAAAAATTGTTAAAGATATATTGTTAGTGTTAAGTTGTGGGTGAACATATCAGACGGCACAGCGATTCTTCAAACAGCTCTTGTTTATTCACAGGCCAGAACAGAACTGAACTGAATGGTTCAGCCAGCTTGCTTATATAGAGCTCCACTAGAACGCAGCAGTAACCATTTTCTGTAACTATCCAAACACTGAACATCACTTTCGATCCCTTATTTGCATATGTGGACCTGAACTATCTACAGTATCCCCCTGCTGGCCCAGGGTGAGAACTTCAGTACATAACAGTTAGAAGTAGTATATAGGGAGGCAGTGGAGGACAGAAGTGCCTGGCGTGCTCTGGTCCATGGGGTCACGAAGAGTCGGACACGACTAAACGACTAAACAACAACAAGAAATCAATAAAAAATATTTAAAAAAATAAAAAGATGTACAGTGGTACCTCGGGTTAAGAACTTAATTTGTTCTGGAGGTCTGTTCTTAACCTGAAACTGTTCTTAACCTGAAGCACCACTTTAGCTAATGGGGCCTCCCGCTGCCGCTGCGCCGCAGCTGCACAATTTCTGTTCTCATCCTGAAGCAAAGTTCTTAACCCGAGGTACTATTTCTGGGTTAGCGGAGTCTGTAACCTGAAGCGTCTGTAACCTGAGGTACCACTGTACAAGGGTCTCAATGTCCTCCTTAAGATGTGGCCACCAGCACTGCCCACATCAACCCTGACATCCAGATTGCCATGTGACATGTCTACAAAAGGGCCCCTGGTGATAATAGCGCTGAAAGAAGTGTATTTTGCAAGAAATCTGAGCTGTCTGTGGTGGAGGAGAGTAAAGATGAAACACAAACACTGATTCACCACACACATGGCCTGGAAGAAAAATTATTTCCAA